GAGGAGAGAGAGAGGAGGGAGAGAGAGAGAGAGGAGAGAGAGAGAGAGAGAGGGAGAGAGAGAGAGAGAGAGAGGAGAGAGAGAGGAGAGAGAGGAGAGAGAGGAGAGAGAGAGAGAGAGAGAGAGAGAGAGAGAGAGAGAGAGAGAGAGAGAGAGAGAGAGAGAAAGAGAGAGAGGGGAGAGAGAGGGTGTGGAATGTGGATATTCTGTATGACAGACAGCAGAGCTAACTATGTAGAGTCTGTGAGATAAAGTAGCATATAGCATGGTGAATAATCGGCGACTGTTTAGGGGAGAAGGGTGCGGTAGGAGTGGGAGATATATGCGGAAGGCTTGTGGGGGAGATACGACTAGCAGGGAAGGTATTATTGTTATTAATGTATGGCCACTGGTAAGGCTCGGGAGTCAGGGGAGACGGACGTTGGCGAGATTGAATGTACGAGTGTTTTCCTCTTCAGCAGCATACACAATACACATTGCACATTTGAATAAGTACCTATGTTTTAACCGTTGCCCATTCTTATTATTCAATGCTGCTGGGTGTTATGGTCGAAAAAAGTGTCGCGTATCTTCTTTAGATGTTTACGTACTTTTATTGGTACTGGTACAAATATAGCCGTGTACCACTCTACCAGCATACCATTTCGACCTGTTTTAGTACAACAGTGTCAAGTGTGTGCTGTTTGAATATCGTGAACGCTTTAATTGGAAGATAGATAGCTCATGTATGATCTCGTTACCACAGCACCACGTTCGTATGATTTCCCTTTGTAATTTAATGGTGACGTGTTTTCCTCCGATGATGATAGGCCAAATGTATCCCGGTTGGATTTGAAGGACGGTATTTTGACCTGGGCTGCTTTTCCCTTCGACAGGAGCTCAAATCCCTGACGATGAGATCCGAATGGCTGAAGAGAAGTTTGCAGAGTCGCTGCACTTGGCTCAGATGAGCATGCACAATCTTCTGGAAAATGACGTAAGTGTGACGCCACTAGCATATGTGACGTCATTGAGCTAAGAAACATGTGAGCGGTTTGTGATCGATCGGCACCGTTTTCCTACCCTGTAGATTCACCCGTTCCAAGCCCGTTCTTTGACAATCGTCGGTTCAGCCATGTTATCTCGTCTTTAAATATTTATGTTTTATAATATTTAAATATTCATTTTCTACCTCGGCTTTTAAATATTTATCTCACATACCCATAAAAACTAATTCATCCATTCACCTACTGCTGAGGCAGACATAGCTATCGCGTGAGGCTGATACCTCCCTCAGTGACGCTAGGTGTCGCTGTCGGTACCTGGATAGATGTCGCTGCTGACGCCCGTACCTCTCCCCGGTCGCAGGTGGAGCAGATCAGTCAGCTGGCGACATTCACCGAGTCTCTGCAGGACTACCACCGTCAGTGCAGCGAAATTCTGGCCACGCTGCACGAGACACTGCAGGAGAAACGTACCGAGGCCGCCTCGCGCACCCGGCCGGCGTTCCAGCCGAAAACGCTGTCCGACCTGGGCATCATGAGCAACGCCACCTACCATCCGGACGGCTCCAACGGAGGCCTGGGCGCCTCTCTGTCCGGTGAGTGAGACTCCGCGCCGCTAGGGGTCGTGGCAGGAACACCGGCAATGGTGTGAGGTGTGAGGTGTTTTAAGATGAGAGACATTTGCATGTGTGTAGATTCCCCGAGTGTACTGTGATGAATGATGCATAATGTCTATGTCCTGTCTGCGGACAGCATCCATAACAAGGAGCACCTATATTGTCCCCAGAAAACAACAAGACTCACTGATCTTCTGTAGATTTTAGCACGCAGTACTAGAAAATCATCTTTTAGCTAACCCGACGATCCCTGGCATTTTCATGTGCTGTTTATAAATCACTTTTAAAACTACCTCGTTCCATAACTAAGTAGCCTGTGTGTGCCTCTCGTAACCGCATCACTTAGCTGAAGCTGATCACTTCTGACCCCTGTATGAGCCCTTTTTATCACTTTATCATCTGGGTGGCCCCTCATGATTCCTCTGTGACCCCGGACCCGTCTAGCCCCTGCGTGACCCGTCTGACCCTTTTGTTCCTTTATATGATCTGAGTGACCCTTGTGCACCTGCCGCCGCCCCTGTCTGACGGCCACTGCCCGTCGTCCAGGCACTTCCGCGTACACTCCGCAGCAGTCGCCGCTGCCGACACCGGACTCTGTCAAACAGCCGCAGTTCCCTGCCTCGCCGGCCGGTAAACCCGCCAACTGACCCGCCCCCTGACCCACCGACCGCCTGAGCTGCGGCGGTTTCTGACCGACCCTGCACTACGCCCGTGTACCCGCCTGCAGGCTCTGTAGCCCTGTGCCACCTTCCACCCCTGCGGCGACCCCCAGCTGAACCCTGATTGCTGCCAGCGGCCGATGTGTGTGAAGCACAGTAGAAAGTTGGCACCGCCCGTGATCCACAATGTGGGGCTCCTGCACTTCGCGGTAGAAGCGAACGGATGTTTCGATGTTGGGTCTCTAGAGCTAGTGTGTGTTGTCACCTGTCACCACTCGGATTCCTGCTGGCTTTTGACGTTTCCTGAGGTGTTGCCAGATCCAGAGGCTAGAAGTCATACTGCTTGGATGTTTTCTCATATCCTCGATCATATTGTTGTTCATGCTCATTGTTTGTCGTAGTTCGAATCCCTCGCAAGCGCTTGTGAATGTGACGCATAGAAGAGGTCCCAGCTCAGCCGCTACGATAGTTCTCGGGAAGAAATCCTTTGCAATTGTGCCGGTTGGGTGTTTCAGGTGTCCCGGCTGACCTCTGGAAATAAGTGTTATTTAGCATATGTGTTTAGCCGTGCGATACCTATTCGTTGCGCTGCAGCATGCGACCTACGGGATCCTTGTTTGGTGTTGGGTTCGTCTCACCTCGCTGAATTCCTTTTTGGCTTTTAACCTGATCCGTTCGAAGCTGCGGGCTGCAAGGGAACACGCAACTCATTTTTTATTTATTGACAGATAAATATAAACTGATGTGGCTCGCGTTCTCCAAATATTTATAAGTATTTTGGTTGATTTTATGTGAAAATGATTGTCATCTGCCGCCTCTGTGCCTCTAACGCGCCACGGTTTGCCGCAGCGTCGCCTCTGCCGTCTCCGATGCGTTCTCCAGGCAGGACGCCCAGCCGCCCGGCTCCCAGTGCCCAGGCCCTGTACGACTTCCAGCCCGAGAACCCGGGAGAGCTCGGATTCAAGGTAGGTGAATCATGCCGGGGCTTCCTTCAGGCTGGATATGTGCACGCTCTATCAACAATGCGAGGATTTCCAGCATTTTTGGCGAAATGTTCATGAGGCCGATTCTTTTAGCTATGACTTGATAGGGAGTCATACCGATCATTTTAGCAGCCAGCGAACCGGATTGTCCTACATAAGCCGCCGTTTATAGTTATCTGTGTCTTTCGAAGATGCTACTTATAACACTATAACAGCCCTGTCCACATTTCACCCTACCTGTCCTAAACTACTTTCAGGAGGGTAACATCATCGCGCTGACGCAGCAGATCGATGACAACTGGCTGGAGGGCCAGCTGGACGGTCATACCGGCTACTTTCCGATCACCTACGTCAAGGTTCTGGTGCCACTGGCCCGCTAGACCGCAACGCCGACCGCCGGCTAGGTGGCAGCACCGTCGCACTGTGACGCCGCAACAGGCGGCCCCGGCCTGGCACTACTGATCCGGTGAAGATGATGAGCTCTGCTTCGTGAGACGTCTTTCGTGTTATGTGTTTATTAGACTGGGTTGGAAATTGTGTGAAAGGTTTGCTTACTTTGAGGTGGGATGTGTTGACTCTGGTGCAAAAGCAAAATGGAAGAGTACGGTCTGATGCCTACCTAGCTCGAGTCGTGAAGTCTGGTTGTGAGTTGTTTGAGCGATGCAGAAGTTCAGTTAGAGAGAGTTGCAATGCTTTGAAATGCTCATTTGCCATCTCAGCTAGCGCATTCATTATCCTTTTTGCCAGCTCCGTTATCTGATGAGTTCGTTGCTACGTTTGAAGGAGTGCGCGCGGGCGTGTTTATGCGTGCCGAGTGTTATTTACTCTGTTCGATTTTCAGGGCTCTTTTGGCCCACCTACCAGCTTCGATCTATGTCATTACCTATTGATGTCTTACTGTTGCTTCCCCCTGGTGCATGCCGCCCTATATCCTCTCGATGTCGCCAGTCACGCTCGGCCGCATACTGTGGCCCCTCCCCGCGGTCCCGCTTCTGTCCGCATACTCCGGGGTCTTTGTTGCTCTACCGCCACTGAATGTAACCGCGTGCCTCTTGTCCTTTCTCTCCCCTGTCTTCGTCTTTCCTGTTCATCTGTGACGCTTTGGTACCTATTAGCCAATGTCCCGCATACGAGCGACAATATCCAACCATTTCTCCTAGTCTGTGTAAATGTCTGCGCGCGACTGGGCAAGCCGGGGCTCCTCCTTACTAAACTGACCTTCCGCACACCATTCCTCCCTCCCGTGCACCATTCCGACCTCTCCTGGCCACCATTTCGACCTCCCTGTCGGCCATTCCGGCCGGTCCGCCGCCGTCGCCCCCGGCTGGACACACCAAGACTCGTCGATTTGCGCTGCCCTGCGTCCGCGCCGGCGGCAGTGTAGTGCCGGCCGCAGAGCCGCCCGGCCTCCGGGCGGCGCCCAGCGGGGCCCGTTTGGCAATACAGTCGTTGGCAGACGAACTGGTGTGTCGACGGAGGGGGAGGGGAGGGGTGCTGTCGGCTGGCTCGCCATAGTCTGGAGGAAACCGGCGCCGTCCGACGCGGGCCGGGTTGGAAATGTCGGTCAGCCACACCGAACGGCGTCGATCGCCGCCAGCCCACGTGCTGGACGGGTGATGGGAGGGGAACGGTCAGGACTGATGCGTAATATGCGATTGGTTCGTGATCGTTGGTGCATGCTGCAAAACATGGACATTTCACAAAGCGAGCGTTAAGTTTGCGTAGGGGAGAGCGAGGTAATCACGGACGGTGGGTATGCCGGCCACACATCTTTAGCGAGTACTTTGACTACCGCTCATCGGCTGATGTTGTTTACGCATCAGTTGGGCGCCAAAAAAAACACAAGGAAAGATATTCGTCTTACTAGCTCCGCTACTTTGACCTTAACAACGATAAAGGCGATTTTTTCGACTCTAATTCATAAGTTGTTTGCATCTACCGCTGAATATGGCTATACGCGAGAAGTCATTTTCAGAAGTGCTGCTTCGTAATAACCCTCGATATATCATTTCCTCGGCGACTACCGAGAGTGGGACGTTTGTGACGCATTGTTTGTTTGTTGCATGCATTTTTTATTGAACTGACTTCGGGGTAATGCCGGTGTCCGGCATTACCCCGAACCTTATATATGAAACATACCTACCTACACATGAAACATTTTAGCAACATATCTAACCTGATGTGGTTGCATGTGAAATATAAGCAGTCATTTATAAATATTTGTATGCTCATAAATGTCTCGTAATTATGTCAAGAAAACAGACATGGCCCTGTGGTCTTCAGAAACGATGACAAACGCGCTGAAGGCCTTGGAGGGAGGCAGCTCAGTTCGTGGGGCCACCGAACTGTTTGCTGCTGAATACAAGTGCCGTTTCAGAATTTTACTGTAATTTTTGGGTTGGCCACTGCTATTGTACCTCGTCCGGTATTACCCCACGCTTTTTTGCACGTGAAATTCATTCAACACCTTTTTCGTTAGACTCTCAACTCTCATCGATTATCTGCCGCACTAAAGCAGGTTGTCATCCCAAAGTATGTTTCGTTGGCTTTCAAATGGAGCAAAAAAGATGGTCGAACTTTTCTTTAGTTGAGTTATTGTGGAAAATGCTTATGGTGTCGCCATTACCCCGCTCTCCCCTACATTCTTCCATTTGAGTTTATGTTCACTCGACGCACTCACACTACAACGAGTTTTTGCAGCCCTCACCCTGGCCGGCCCTATCGATGATAAGCTTACACTCGTGAATATTGGAAAAATAAAATAGCATTTTAGACAGTCCTTAATCATACTGAAAGTTAAAAGCAAAGTGCCGCGATAGAAAGCCAAGCTTTTACCTCGGCTGTCTGCAAAAAAACACACGCTGTGTCCCCGCAGCCTGTTGGCTGTTTTTGAAGAACCACGAGGTCACCCGCCATCGTACGTCAGCCAATTACTGTATCCAGCCGCTCATCCATAATTCCCCCACTCGGGCCACCTGACCTTGTCAGTCGGCAGATCTGTTGTCGGTCGGTCCGGGCGAAGCGGCGAACGCAGGGTAGACAAACAGGACACCGTGTCCTTCGCAGGTCACCATTGACGTCACCAGGACTGGCGTGGTAACGGTGACGTCCTGCCCTCTGTCCTAGGTCATCAATGACGTCAGACTTGTAGCGGCGCGGACCACGCGGCGTTCCCGTGGTACATGCGCACTTATCAGGCGGTTTCCGGCTGGGAAGGGCGTTCCAGCGCAGCGCGACAGCGAAACGACACAGGCATGAGGCAGCTGGTGCTAGTGCGAACCAGACCGACCTCCCGACCGACCGCCCCCGACCACCGACCGCCGACCGCCTACCGTCCCCGACCACCGACCGCCGACCGTCCCCGACCACCGACCGCCCGACCGAAACCGCTCGACTGTGCCGTCCGCACCCGGATCGAAAGACTGGGTTTATCCGACGTATGCACACAGTTCATTGCCGCAATGAAACTGAGCGCCGCAGTGCCGGTGAATGTTGCCCGGATGCCCTTCACCGACCTTATCAGCTCAGTTGAGGCAGGCCTTCTCTGGATCCACCGCTCGCAGGCTGCACAGTGCACGCTGTATCGGAATAAACTGCAAACAACTTATGCAACAGAATACTGGGCAATAAATGGGGCTACTGTTGCCAAACAACGCGATATGGTGCCTCATCTCGTATAGAATCAGCAGCAAGGTGCAAAATTACTTAATTCGAGATAGCGAAAGGTTTCGCCGTGCTGGACAGTCGAAAAAAAAAACGCGTGGCTTTGGAATTGCAATCGTTTCACCTTTCTCCGGTTGTATTAATCCTCGCCGGCCGAAGGGACCCAAAGTTTTTTTTTTCGCGAAATTTCGGAACGCGCCAGAGATAGAGAGCTGAAACTTGGCACATCTGACCTTTGATTCAAACCGGATCTTGTGACGTCAGCCACATTTTCAGGTCAGGTCAGGTCACTGACCTATGACGTCATAAGAGGAACTCTGCGGTGCCGCTGTCCTAAAATGTCGCAGCTTCGCAATGCCCTTAGTGCCAGAGGAGTTGTTACAGGACGATGAAACTTACCGTAACTATTAGCCTTCAGAGGTCTCACATATTGTATGTATGTCTCGAATTTGTTCTCAAGGTCATGTGAGGTCAGTTTAGTACCGTGACCTCGCCACTATAAGACAATGGGTCGTGGGTGAGATTTGGAAACTGTTATTTTAGCGCCTGGACTTTTTCTAACTTCCAAACATAGCTCAAGTACCATGGAATCGTGTTTCCATGTATCACAGACTTCTCTTCACATTTAGAGCATGTACCATTTTGCATGTACTCTTTACAATGTTCGATGCTTCCTTTGCATTGTTGACCTTGCAGGACGTCATTTATGACGTCGCGGGAGTCATAAAAGTTTTTCGTCAATAACTCCCGATCAAACCATGAGCTAACGAGTCGGGAAAACCACCAATGGACTCGGGGAAACCTGCCGAATCAAATGGTATACAATATGACCTCCTTCGACCAACTTCAGATTCAGATTCAGATTCAGATATATCAACTAAGGTCCACAATAAACGTGGCTTTTCACTCATTCACGTCTTAGAGTAGGTAGAGCAGAAAGGAAGCTGGAACACAAGCCACTACTGCCTTCGAGACACTTTGTGACCTGAGTAGCTGTGACCTGACTTTGACCCTGAGGTTTGACTTTGACCTTACGTTGACGTCATCAAAACAAAACGTATACCATTCGACGCGCGTCTCCATACCAAATAACGGCTCTGCGACCATTTTTCTTCTTCTTTTTTTTTGGCAAAGTTATTTATCAAAAACCGAAACCGTATCTTGGGGCACTTGACTTGACCTCAGAGGTAACCGATTGATCTGAGAAAATAAAATATCAATCGCTGCGTCTAGTAATGGCGCACATGCCTGTTTTCCTGCGATGCTGTAGCTCAATTAGGGACGAAACGACGGTGGGGGGGGGGGGTCATACCCACCCACCCCCTCTCGGCCGGGGCGCACATGGAAGACCAATAGGTCCGGCGAGAATTTATGCTTTGTGTGGAGTGCTGCGTGTAATTTCTTTTTGCGGTACTGGATAGTTATTTTCTCTCGTTTGTATCTGTTAAGTTGATTGTCATTGGCTCACGCCACGCCAGAGATAGAGAGATAGTATGCCTTCATAGAGCTGTAGGTAACTTCCTTTCAGATTGCGGAAAGATGTCCATTTATGAACCGATTGATACCAAGCTACTAGTACCAAGCATACTAGTACTATGCAAGTAGATACTATGTAGTAGCACGCGCGTGTCGCTTGCCATTGAAGGTGACTAAAACTTGACAAGTGTTCGGTATTTTGAATATCGAAAAGGCGTTCGTTCACCGATATGGGTATGTAACGCAGATGCGTTACATTTTTTCATCTTTCATGCTGAACTGCAAGCTGTGCCACAAGCTGAAACACGGCCATCTGCGAGCGCCGCACAGACACGGTCAGCCGGCTAAATCGGCTGTGATACCCTCTCTCCGTCCCAGCTGGCGTCCACACAGACGGCGCAGTCGGCTCTGACAAACAGGGGTCCTCTATAGATGACCACCCCACTTCATGAGAACCCGGATCTGAAGCCAACAAATAGCATACCGAAACGCGCCATTCTGCCAGCCTCGAGCCATTAACCCTATTCCTGGCGGGGGGGGGCCTCAGGAGCCCCCCCTGAGGTTTTTTGGTTATATCTCCCAAACGCGTTGAGCTAGGAAGCTCAAATTTTCTGACTTTTCCTAAAAGGTTTCTACGCAACATGTCTGAAAATTTTGAGTTGATCTGACCTCAGGTCAGGTCACCAGAGGCGGTTTGGTGACGCTACCTCAGAAAAGTTTGCAATCACGCCAGAGCTAGAGTTTTTAACTGATCAATTTCTTCTCTTCAGGGTTTAGTTAGGGTACCAGTATGTGCAATTTGTATATCTCGGAATTTTGATATCGGTGACCTAAGGTCAGGTCAATTTCGCGACCTCCCCATTATAAGTCAATGGGGGAAAAATCAACTCCCTGTTTTTACCACTAAAACGGGTCGGAATGGCCCCATATACCATACATGACTTCATATACGATCAACCTTCACTACCTTGAGGTCTGTTTTGCTGTTGGGCAGCTGTGAGGTCATGTGACGTCATCAAAGGTCACCAAAGGTTTTTGGCCAATAACTCCGTACAGGAACAAGATACAGACGCGTGGATGGTCTCATTGTGTTCAGCTCGTCAAGACGCATCGAATGATATACATGATGACCTCGAGGTCACGTGACCTGAGGTCAACCTTTGACCTTGACCTTTCGAGGTCAACATATATATCATTCGATGCGGATTGACGAGAGGATCACGATGATGCCCTTAGTTTGTTCCTATCTTGACTAGTTCGAAAGTTATTCGAGAAAAACTCTCTCCATATCTAGTGCCGCCATTTTGACTTTTTCGTCCCCT